TGTGCAAGGGTTTCAGGGTGTCCATGCAGTGGACAGCATTGCTCATACACAGACCAGCAAGGCCCGGCCGGCCGCTCAGCCACGCTCCCTCTCTGCTCGGGCTTCCTGTGCTTACGCAGGCGGAGGCCCATCGGCACCCACAGGGCCCCCTCCCCAGCGATCAGCGTGGACACAGCTCTCTGTGACCTTCGAAGCTGGGGGTGGGGGTGGGGGGTGAGAGGGGCCCCAGCCTCCGCAGCCCGGCTGCCCTGAGAGTGAGGCTGGGCCTGGTGACCGCTGCAGCCTCCGTCCCCAGCCTCCCCTCCCCTCGGGCCCGGGATTGGCTTCCGGCTGTTTTAGGCCGGGTCTTCATGACCGTCCTTGCTCTGTGTTCCCTGCTGTGGTCTGAGAATCCTCAGGAGGGAAGGAAGCCCCTCCCTATGGGACAGCCCAGCGGCCCCTGGGTCCCCAGCATCACGCAGATGATATTTGGGGGGCGGGGTGTTTAGGGGCCCTAAACACTAAACTCGCTTTCTGTTACCTTGCACAACCTTTAAAGTGACTTCACCTTTTGGATGAGTTAAAGCAAAAGCCGTTACTTGTATTTGAATAAAGTAGTTTTCTATAGAACACCACCTGAAGCCAGTCAGTAAAAAAATACGCTGACATTTATTAAACAAAAGATCAGTTGTAAGGTGCTTCTTAAATTATTAGTCCTGGGAGAGCTAGCCATGCCAAAGATCTGGGACCTTTAGCTCCATGACTTCACACTTAAAGACTCTGCTATGTCAGCTCGTCCCCCTCCTTGGACATAGTTCAGCGGGTAAGGGAACGCCCTCCAGTCACAGGCCGGACTCGGCCCCATTCCAGAGCCGCCGGGGCTGTGGGCGGGGCTGCTCTCCTGGGGCCTCCGTGCCTGGCAGGGGCAGAGCCTGGACAGGGAGCGGGAGCAGGAGCCACTTGAGCCCCTGTGGGCGTGGCCCCTGGCGCTGTCCTCTCCGTGGGATGTCCGGGGGTTAGCGACAGGCCTGTCCTGGAAGGCGACTGGGCGTTCCCACCGCGTCCTTTCCTTGGATGCGCAGCCTATACACACAGCAAGGGAGGCAGCTACATGTAACCTGTTAGTAAGAAAGTACCCTCGGAGCACAACTCTTAACCAGCTTTCCCTGCAAAACGGCTGTTAGGCCTCAACAGTCGGAGTGAAGGGACGGTGGCAGCTGTGTCCCTTGTAGAGAAGTTACAGGTTTTCACTCACGGTGCCTCCTTATGCGTGCTGAGCCTGGTGTTCTAACTGGAATAAGTTACTGCGAGGAGAGGGGAAAGGCAGAGAGATGCAGAATAAAGTGCTGGGTACGGCCCAGTATGGCCGGGCCGGTGGCCGCCCTGTTGGCTGGACACGCCATGAGCGTCCATGAAGGTGTTCACCAGGCTCTGGGGCGCTTCATAGTTGGGAACACATGTTCTGCTCATGTGGGTGATGCGTCCAGTTCAGAGAGAAAGGAGGGTGCTGTCAGAGCTTAGAGTCACATTAGATGGCAGACCCTGAGGGAGAGGTGCTGACGTCACAGTCTGACATTTTTTTTGAGGAGGTGGGGTGGGGGAGGGGTGTCTGACTTGGCACTGTAGTTCTTTTATTTTTTAAAGGAAATGTAGCAAAATATTGCTATTGCCATGTATTAAATCTGGGCGTTGGGCTTACGGATGTCTGTGCCCTTTAAGTGTGAGCTATTTCATAACTGACCGTGTGAACAGGAAGCATGAGACAGTGTGTAGGACGTGGGCCTCATGTGGGCCTGGTAGACGTGGCCGGGACAGAGGTGCCTGTGCCACCCGGGACCCGAGCCCCTGGGGCCTGCAGGCCACCTGCTCTGCTCTCTTCTCTGAGAAGAGAGTCAGGCTGCGTGTTTGGGGTGCGTCCTCTGCCCCGTGTTCTCCCGTGTTTCCCTCCCTCCTCCCCGTCAGGAGACCCAGTGCCGCTGTTTCCGGGATGAGGGGGGTGCAGGGGCTCAGCGGGTCTGTGTCACCGTTAATCGTTTTTAAGTTGCATGACCGAAACTCTGCAGTATGCAAATGAGACCTTTTGCTCTGTTTTAAGGGCGCTGGAACTGCTGGGAAAGCAGGGAGTTTAGGAAAAAAGCCTGGTAAGTTCCCCCCACACTTCCCTCTCGGGGCCGGGAATGTGCTGGGCAGCCGCTCCCAGGTTCTGGTCTGGGGCCAGGAGCCCGCATGGCAGGCCCTTCCGGGAGCCTCCTCCTGCACCGGCTGTGAGATGGGCCGTGGCTCCACTTGCGGGGGCCGGGGACCCCACAGCTGTGCGGCAGGTGAGAGGCAGTGGTGCCGCAGATGGGGGGGCAGCTGTGAGCTGCGGGTCCCCCTCTCTGGGCTCAGGAAGCCGGGCCATAGTGGTGGCTCCACAAAGGACACGAGTGGTCAGTGCAGGTCCCAGGCGCAGGGCCGTGGGGTGCTCCTCAGGCGCACGTCAGCCCAGCTGCGGTCCTCCCTCCGCCTCAGCGTCAGTTCCAAACCATCAGCTTCTGCTCATGGAAGCGAGAGGGGAGGGAGCAGGTGGGAAGCGTGTGGCTGTGTGCACGTCCTCCCCGCCTCTCAGCCTGAGGAGGTTACAGGCTGAAGGGCCCCTGCCAGGGGGTGTCCCTGTGTGTGCTCAGCGGGGGCCTCCCCTGCCAGGAGAGGGGTTCAGGCTGCGTGGGGTGTCTCTCAGGCTCAGGTAGGGAGCCCTGGCTCAGGTGTCTGCTTAGGGCAGCGGTTCTCAACCTGTGGGTCGCGACCCCTTTGGCGGTCGAACGACCCTTTCACAGGGGTCGCCTAAGACCATCCTGCATATCAATGTTTACATGACGAATCGTAACAGTAGCAACATGACAGTTACGAAGTAGCAACGAAAATAATTTTATGGTTGGGTCACAACATGAGGAACTGTATTTAAAGGGCCAGAAGGTTGGGAACCACTGGCTGAGGGGCAGAGTCTGTCCTGAGTTGTCCCTCCGCAGGGCAGGGTGGGCTTACCTCCGCCCTGGAGCAGCCGGCTGCTCAGGCACATGGTGAGCGAGAGGCTGGGCAGCTGCTGGCCACCAGGCCTGGGAGGCGCAGGAACATCTGAGGCCAGTAGGTCACTGGCCTGGACTTGTCCAGACCGAGAACTTGGGATCTAGACCAGTCCTCAGGTGCTCAGGCCCGGGGTGCTCAGGCCTCGGGGCTCTGGTCGTCAGGGCTAGGGTTGCTCATGTGCCTCTAGACCAGCAGCTCTCAACCTGTGGGTCTCAACCCCTTTGGGGGTCGAACAACCCTTTCACAGGGGTCGCCTAAGACCATCGGAAAACACATACCTAATTACATACTGTTTTTGTGATTCATCACTATGCTTTAATTATGTTCAATTTGTCACCATGACATTGGGGGTCACCACAGCATGAGGAGCTGTATGTATGAAAGGGTCGCGGAATGAGGAAGGTTGAGAACCGCTGCCAGCGAGCGCCGTGGCCTCCCAGCGAGCACCGTGGCCTCCCAGCGCCGCGCTGCTGCTGGGCTTGTCCCCCTGACGTGCTCAGTCAGGGAGAGGACTGTTTGCATTTTTCTGTACTGGCTTGTTTTTGCGCAAACTCCCCACCTTTACTCCATGTTCGTCCTTTAACTCAAAACAAAAAGCAGTCATTTGCATTGACACGATTCCTGCCGATATTCAGGGTCACCCTCGCATGTGAGCTCCGGACACGGCCTGTGGGCGGGGTGCGGCCCTGAGCTGCAGCCGAACTGGGCAGAGCCAGGCTCCAGGGGTCCTGCAGGAGACAGGCTGCTCTCCCCTTGTCCCTTGGTCGCTTGCCTGTCCGTGAGTGGGCGGTGCTGAGTGCTGTGGGGAGAGGGCAGGCAGAGGGCACATGGGACAGAGGAGGCCCAGCTGTTGAGGGAGGGGCTAGGACGGAAAGTGCTGGAATTGGGGGGGCCGCTTGTGGAAGGAAACTGGGAAGTTCCGAGGTGACTGGGTCCTTCCACGTCAGCCTGGGATGGGGCGATGGGTGCGCCTTCCCTTGGAAGAAGACGAGCCCCGAGGTTGGCTTTGATGGTGTGAACCTGTGAGCTGGGTGTGGCTGTGTCTCCTTAGAATGTCCTCCTGACTGACCATGCGCCGTGTCTCCTCTTGTTTTCCAGAAATAGCCCAGGTCATTGCCTCCTACACGGCCACCGGCCCTGAGCAGCTCACCCTGGCCCCGGGCCAGCTGATTCTGATCCGAAAAAGGAACCCAGGTGGATGGTGGGAAGGAGAGCTGCAGGTGGGTGCCTGTCCTGTGGTGTGAACTCCTGTCCAGGTGGGACTACGCAGGCACAAAGGACACTGTTTCCTCACAGAGTGACCCTGCGTTTGGGTAGCGGGAGATGTGCCGTAGTGTCGGAATCTGTTGGGGACTGAGCTTCGGCCCGCCCGCAGCAGGATTCTTCTGAAGATGATACAAATGGTTTGGGTTCCTGACCCAGCTGGTGACTCAGCTGGTGAGAGCTGGGCCAGAGAGTTAGCGAGAGGGTCCCCTGCAGCTCTCCATCTGGCCGTAAGGTCCAGTGGCAGGTTCTGTGTGTCCAAAGCCACCTCTGCCTCACTGTACTTTTAGTTCCTGTGTGTGTGTGTGTGTGTGTATGAGTGCACGTGCTTGTGTGTGTGTGTGTGTGTGTGCGCGTGCGCGCGTGCGCATATGTGGTAGTGCGCGCTTGTGTGAGTGCGCGCATGTGTATGTGTGTGCATGCATGTATGTGTGCGCGCGTGTGTATGTGTGTGTGCGTGTGCTCCGTCCGCCCGCCTGCCCGCAGCTCTCTTCTCTGCACTGCGTCCCTGCAGCCCAGCCCTGCAGGCACCCCGGGCCGCTGACCATGACTTGCTGCCGCGGCTGGACTCGGCCCCAGTGTCTTTGGTTTGCAATGTGCGCCCAGGGGTTCCACTGCGCGCCCCCCTTTCAGCTCCGCGTGCCTGTACGGGTGCCCGTCACAGGGCAAACCAGGAAAGAACGTGAACCTTTTACACATTTTGACGCCACTTTTTTTTTTTTAGGCTCGTGGGAAAAAGCGCCAGATAGGCTGGTTTCCTGCGAATTATGTAAAACTTTTAAGCCCTGGGACAAGCAAGGTCACGCCCACGGAGCCGCCCAAGCCCCCTGCACTCCAGGCAGGTGAGCACTCCTGTCCCCACTGCAGACCCCTGCGCCTCGCCGCCTTCCCACGCGGCCCCTGAGCAGGCGCAGGGCCATCAGCGGAGGGCTCCGTGTCCTGCGACGTGGAGTATGTTTTCCTAAAGGACTGAGTGTCAAGCAGCTTCGTGCTGCGCACAGCAGAGCCCTTGTCGGAACTCTCCCCGCGGGCCTGAAGGCCGTGGCGTTAAAGCCAGCTGTGCCCTGGATCCCCTCCAGCTGTTTAAGCAGGTTTGGCCCTGGGGTGAGGGATGGAGAGGACTTGTGAATATAAATGGCTGGGGCCTGGCGAGGAGGGGCGCTGGAGCTGGAGGCCAGGCCTGCTGGGGTAGAGTGCTGTCACCGAGACGGAATCGCTCCCCGTGACCTTTCCTATGGGTGGGGTCGGGGTGGCTTGGCTCCCTGAAAGGACAGGGACAGGGCTCCTCAGCTGAGCAGCCGGCTACTTCCTGGTTGAAGAGATCGGATTAGATGCTGCCGTGGCATCGGAGCCGGGTGAGGGTGAGGCGAGGGGAGCGGCATCTACATTAGGGCTCTAAGCCCCAGTGGTGGGAGAGGCAGACTCCGCGCCGGCACCGTGGCTGCATGTGCTGTGTGGCCAGTGGAACGCGATGGAAACGGGCCGGCCTTGGCCAGCAGTCAGGGTTGGCAGGCGCTGTGACCGACTCCGGCCCCGGCTGGGCCTCCTGGCTGCGCCTCTGTGTGGGCAGAGGGGTGCGGTGCCAGCTGCCCCCCCCACCCCCCCGCGGGAGGCCTGGCCATGTCCCCTGCATCAGGTGGGTTGAAGCCTCAGAACTAATTAATTTGCTGATGCAATTGAATTGGCTGGAGAGTTTGAAAAATCTTAACCCACATGCAAGTTGGTTACAAAAGATCAGTTAGGCTCCAGCCCAACTCTGCAGCCTTCCCTGTAGGGTCCACATGCAGAGAATGAAAGCAGTTTATCCTCTGACAGTGGTTCTCAACCTTCTGGCCCTTTAAATACAGTCCCTCATGTTGTGACCCAACCATAAAATTATTCTCGTTGCTACTTCATAACTGTCATGTTGCTACTGTTACGAATCGTCATGTAAACATCTGATATGCAGGATGGTCTTAGGCGACCCCCGTGAAAGGGTCATTCGACCGCCAAAGGGGTCGTGACCCACAGGTTGAGAACCGCGACCCACAGGTTGAGAACCGCTGCTCTAGGGAATGAGGCACGAAACGTTCTAGAATGTAGACATTTCTCTTTGACACAGAATTTTGAGGTGCAAAGGTACAGAGAAAAAAAACAGACTTTTTCACTAAGGTTTGGAATTTTTGGAGTCAAATGGTCAGTACCTTCCACCTTAACAGCAAACAGCCCACAGAGAGCCCTGTGGGAAGCCCTGGCCAGCCGGGCCCGTGGCCGGCTCGGAGGCCGCGTCTGAAGGGTCCCACTGCTCGGGGCCGTCCACACACGCCTCCCACTGTCACTGCGTTTTCTGCTGACAAGTGAACGTGACAGGAGGAACATGTTAGAAAAACGGAAGCGTTCGTGTGAAAGGGTGCCGATGTCCGGATTTTGAGCCCTCGGTCTAGCTCTGTGGCTCACACCGTACGGAGCCCGTCCTCGGGGAAAGGGCAGGCTAACCGGTGCCCAGCGCTCACGCCTGCCCCCTCCCGCAGTGTGCCAGGTGATCGGGATGTACGACTACACCGCGCAGAATGACGACGAGCTGGCCTTCAGCAAGGGCCAGCTCATCAGCGTGCTCAGCAAGGAGGACCCCGACTGGTGGAAGGGCGAGGCCGGCGGGCACGTGGGGCTCTTCCCGTCCAACTACGTGAAGCTGACCACGGACACGGACCCGAGCCAGCAATGTAAGTGCGGGGCCCGGCCCCTCCTCGCGCCTCGCGGTCGAACATGCAGCATTGCTCTGACCCCGCCGGCCGCCCAGCGCAGGCGAGGCCCCTCCTCCGCAGTCTCTTTGAAGACCTTCTGTCATGCAGACCTACCTGTGGGGTTGCTTTTATTTTTTTTTCCTTCCGTAGCATGTCCCGTCCCTCCCCGCCCCCCTTTTCCTTTTTTTAAATCATTTGGCACTACGCTGTGTACACGCCTGACTCATTCTCCTAGCTTGAATTTTGCTCATTGTTTTGTTTTGCTTATGTGTTGTTTTCCTCCTTTTTCTAGGAATCATATGTTGTCCATCCCCCCCTCAGGCTTGAAAGTCCTCAAAGAGACCCACTATCCCATATCACTGCCCAGAGGGATGATGGGAGATGCAGCCTTGATCATGTGACTTCCAGCATGATCACCTACTGCCTTCTGAGTAGAAGAACTCACTGCAGAGCAGTTTACCTCATTTGACCTTAGTTGCATGTGATGGCAACGTGGAGTTACTACTTGCAGAGATAGAAGCAAAAATTACAAACACACAGGGTAGTGGGTCCTTTTGTGGCTTTCCTAGTGACTCAAATCGACTGCCCCCACCTTTGCACAGGTGCTTTCAATAGTTTTAAAATTATTTTTAAATATATATTTTAGCCTTTTAATAAAATAAATAAAGAAATTACTCCTTTGCTATTTTGGTTTTGCAAAAAGACCCACTATCAAGGAATGCTGCATGTGCTGTTAAACATGTTCCAGGTGCCCGTGAATCTGAGACTCGCCCAGTGTGACCAGCTCCGCGGGGCGGGCGGCTCCCTGCGGGAGAAGCGCAGAGGGGGTCAGTGTGTCTCAGAGACGTGTAGAACCGGCGATTAAACAGAGTGTGGTGCTTGTCTGTGTGTTCCAGATGTACCTGGTGAGCATGTAACAACATCCTGTACATAGGACGTGGTTTCTCCCATGACTACGTTATTCCCTTGTACGATGCGCTAGTCCAATTGCATTGGTTTTATTTTGCACAGTGACCTTGTAGCCACATGAGAAGCACCTGGGCTTTTGTTTGGGCTCAGATTTACCGGGTTGAGTTGGTGTTTTCTGTTTTGGGTTTTAAACTTGGCGTGTTTTCATACCATAATCAGTAGACAATGCCATCGAGGTTGTCACGAGCAACAGTGTATACACAGTCTCTTTGTGTCTGTTACATGGCGTTTCCTCCCAGTTACTTTTCATGGAATGACTTACTTTGAACAAGTAATTTTCTTGACAAGAAAGAATGTATAGACGTCTCCCTGCGATTAATTTCCAATGTTTACATTTTTTAACTAGACTGTGGATTTCTACAGCGTAGAGGACGGGCGCACGGTCCGCGCCTGTGGTAGGTGTAGCTGAAGCCCTGTGTGTCTCTAAACACTAGTGGGAAGCTCTCCATAAGTCCCGTTGCCGACGGCCCGCAGCACGGGCGGGGAGCCCAAGCACAATCTAGCAGTTCTAACAGCGACTTTTTAACCGTAGCAACCTGTTTGTGTGTCTCCCCTGGAGACTGCTGGCCGCGCAGAGCCCTCCCTCGCTCGCGTGGCTGCGCGCTCCCCTGCGCTTCAGTATTTCCATGGATACGAATGTAAAATATATAAATATATAAGCCTGCGGCTTTAACAACTGTAACTCAACTTTGGAATAGTTATGTGTATAGATAATTAAATTCTTCCTATAAAAGCTGAACGGATGTCTCTGTGTTCTTGCTGGGACCTGGCGGTGTGACGGAGCCACACAGACGGCCAGCAGGTGGCTGCCCACGTGTGGGTGAGGCCCGTGCCCTGAAGCACAGACTTCACGCCCTCCCTGCGCCCTCCAGCGACCTCCCTCTCTCCTGTACGCCCCTCCCTGGTCCGCATGCAACCTGCGGCCCCTCCCGGTCCTGGCCTCGAACAGAACTGCCTCCCAGCTAGCGGTTCACTCGCTCATGGGGCTGTGGCTACGTTACTGCTCCGTTGACGGCGTGTGAGTGGACTCAGGGTTCAAAACATTTCTCCCCAAGGTGGATCATAATAAGGGTCTGTAACATCCAGAAAGTATGTGGGTGAAGATGGGACGCTCACCCCTCCACACCGGTCACCGTCCGTCCGCCTCGCACACTCGTCGCCTGGGCAGAAGTACCTGAGTGTCCGCACGGAACGGCCAGTGCCCACACACTGACTGTCAGAACCCCGCCTCCCGGCCACGTGGGGAAAGCAATCCCCCTTCAGAACAGCGAACATGTGGGGGATCCACAGGTGTGGGCGCCCCGCCAGGTTCTGGGGACAGTGTGTGTGGGAGATCAGGAGCCGAGACCTTAGGAGAATTGGGAGGCCAGGCGGTGTGGAGCGGCCATGGGGGGGTGGGGGCGGGGAAGGGGGTGTAGGGCGACACACAACCTTCCAGGAGGGCCTGAGCTGAGCCCCGCAGGATCCCAGGAGGCCGGGAAGGGCAAGGAATGGCGCTTCTGGGGGGCGGTGCCCTGCAAAGGCCCAGGGCGGGCAGCGAGCTCGGTCTCCGTCCCCTCCTGAGGAGCCGGGTTCCTCCAGCCCCGGGTTGGGCAGGATGGCAGTGCTCCCTGAATCCGGGCAACCCTTCCCGCACACCCTCTTGGGAGATCCCCCTGGGCCGTCCTCGGGGCTCGGGTCGCGGACACGGGCTCCCCGGGAAACCACTGTTCCCTCAGCGTCCACTTGCACGGCGAGTGTCCACTGTAGCCCAGGCCTCTGACGGGACAGTAA